CTCCTACAGATCCAGGGACCGCGCGGCCTCCTGCTCGGTGCCGGCCTCTGCCAGGGGACTGTTGTGCTGGGGCCGCAGCTGCCGCCGCACCCGGCGCCGGCCCACCCACACCCGGTGCCACAGGGCGCAGCTCCAGCTCACAGCCCCTGCTTCTTCCAGGGCCTCTGCTCGCAGCCTCTTCCGGGCAGGGGAGACGGAGACAGGGCTGGGGATCCCCTCCTCTTTGCTCAGGGGGCGCTTGAGCCCAGCAGCCAGTGGCTTTCCTGGGTCGGTGGGGGCATCCCCAGGCTCCCTGGGGCCTGCCAGCTGCTGGGTGGGGGAGGTTGGGGGCTCCCCGGTCTCCCCCTGCTGAAGGGATGCCCCGGGGGGCTCCAGGAGCTGCTCTGCATGTCCAAGGGGCTGACGCTGGAGCTCCGTGCAACTGCACTTTAAGACGTCTCTGAGCACAAAGGCAACGCCAGCGCACACGTGCCCAAACCAGCTCTGCCGGGAGCTGGGATCTAGGCCCAGCTCATGCCGACGGGCAGCCGGGGCCAAGGGCAAGGCGAGGAGCAGCCCGTCAGAGTCCAGCTCGCCAGCCTCAGGCTGGAAGAGGCGCACCAGGCCCCAGGGCCGGCCCTTGGCAGACTTGCGCTGGTACTGCAGGCTGCGGCAGTACTTGGCGGCCCGGGTGCAGCAGACCCGCAGGCGACGGGCCATGCGCTCCGTGACGTTGGCGGCCACGTTGTGGCTGCGCTCGAAGGGGTCCTGCAGGGTGACAGGGCCCAGGCGCAGCCCCGCACCCGCCACTGCCTCCAGGGGCAGCACCCGGCCCTCACACAGGGAGATCACATGACCTGACAGCTCCTGTTCCCCGAACTCCCGGAAGAAGTCGGCCAGAAGGACGCCTGGGGGGAGCAGGAAAGAAGTGGGGTGAGGACAGGGATCCCTGCATGGCCCCTCTGCCCCCAGCCCCCCCAACAGCACTCACACAGGCTCTCTGTGTTGGTGTTGGGCTCCAGCCGTGCCGCGTCCCGGGGGAAACTGCAGTCCCACCCGTCCACGACCATCCGCTCCTCATCCCCTGGAAGGAGGGAGATGGTTAGTGATCCCCAGCCACGCCACGCAGACCACGTCAGGGAGGTCTCACCCCCCAGCGCTGTGCTGGGGGTGTCCATACACTCCCCCCTCGTGGAGGCTCCGGTCCCAGAAGCAGCTCGGTCTGAGTCGCCGCCATCAGCAGGTGGGAGAGGGCAGGCGCTGGGGGGGCAGCTTCCTGGAAGCCCCGATGCACTGGTCAGGGATCACTCCCATGCTAATCGGGCAACCCCAGGAAAAAGCAAGGGTCTGTTTCCCCGCTCCCTGAGCCTAGAGATCGTTGTCTCAGGGAAATGGGCTACGGGGCACAAGTTATGACTCAGTTTCCCTGTGCCAAGAGGTCATTAGCTCAGAGATATATAGGCCAACAGTCACAGGTCATGACTCAGTTTCCCTGTTCCCTGAGCCAAGAGATTGCTGTCATAGAGAAACGGGCGGGAATGCAGACATCTGAACCTGAATGGGATAAAACTCTTCCACAACAACTCGCCTCGACCACGAGGGCAGACTCTGAGAGCACCGAGTCTTCATCCGCTGGCAGTGAGGCTTCTCTGCTGGATGTAGCTGTTCTGGGTCACGTGGCCCGATTGTTGGTATCCCAGTAAACCAGCATACAATTACTGGCATGCAATAAACCAGAGCACAGCATCCCAATACACCGGTGCATCATTGGGAGGAACTTGCTTTGGTTTCTCTGGATCATACCAAAGCCCCCAGAACCAGCCTAGGGGTAACACCCAGGGGAGAGGCTGCGCCTTGGTGTCCGGGGGCTGCCAGATACAAGCCGAGCTCCCCCAAAAGCCCTGGTCCTTTTGGGACTTGGATTTTCCGCCCCAGGGTTTCTTTCTAGTTCAGGCTCCCAAGCCCAAGATCATGGAGGCCAAGGCTAAAGGGAGGCGGCTGTGGTGCATCCAGCTTTTGTTTTAACTCAAGGTCAGGGCCTGGCGGCCAGTCCCCTCCTGCCCTGGGGCCTTCCTGGAGCAGGTGGGAAGGGCACCAGGCAGGGCTGGGACTGTCCTGCTCCAAGATAAAGACAGGGCTGAATACAACTCCTGGGACCCTGCCAGGCCTGGCACCTCATGGGCTCCTGGCCAACGAAATGGAGCATGAAAGCTGCTGGATTCAGGGTACAGGGATGTCACATGCATGTACATGCACGCACCCTCCACCCCCGGCTCATGCTCTCGCACACAAGCGCACACACCCACACATGTGGCAGCTCCAGGCAGCCCGTGTAACTGCAGCTAGTTTTGGGCAGGGCACATGGCTCTCTCATGGGCACCAACCAGGCTTCACATGCCAAGCTCAAGGGGACGTTTTTCGCCACAGAGCTGCCCTTTGATTCTCTTACTGGTGCCCAGCCTCCTGGTGCTCCTGGACCCAAGCAGCCCCTGCCTCCCCATGCACAGACATGCTCAGCCCCAGGGCACAGAGCATGCCCTACCTGCCAGCTGCTGGAGACAGGCCACAGTGGGCAGGATGGGTGGGGAGCGCGTCTGCAGGAAGAAGATCACCAGCAGCGTCAGGGCATAGTTGGTGAAGAGTGGGCCGCCTCCATGAGGGTTACCTGGGGGGGGTAGACACGACTGTGAGAGATGGGGGACTGTGTCCTGCACCCCCAACTCTCCCCCAGACTGGCCCAGCCCAGAGCCCTGGACAAAGCCACAGCCCTGCCCGGTGCTGGCTGTGCCCACCCAGCGAGAGGGGAAAGGGGAGATCCTCACCCGCCAGGCCCTGCTGCTTGGCCCAGTAGCGCAGCACGTAGACCAGCGGTCGCACTCGCTCGTCAGCCTCAGTGCAGAGCTGCAGGAACTGCGTGTTGCACAGACCCAGCCTGGGGAGGGTGGGGGTTGGGAAATGTCAGGGGGGGCAGCCCCCACTCCCACCTTTGCCTCTACAGTGGCAGGTGCGTCCCCAGGCCCCCACGGAGAGCCCGCATTACCGGTTGTTGAGGGAGATGTCGCCGCACAGCCCCGAGTCCTTGTGGCTGAACTTGACAACAGGGCGCCTAGCACTGGGCACGGCCTGCACGCGGTGGACCCCGGGCACGCAGCTCTGCAGCACGGTGCGCACCACCTCCAGCACCTCCAGCGCCACCCCCAAGTCGATGTCACTCAGGATCGAGTCCTCTGCGGCCGGCTCTGCCCCCTCGCAGCACTATGGGGGAAGCCAGGGGCAGGGGAAACAATTACCAGGGAGAGGAAGGAGCAGGACAACTCGGAACCTGACCCCCCCGGGTTCTGGCACTAGCTTTTCATGTTAGGCCCCAGGGTCCTGGCATTGCACCCCCTCCCTGGCACTCCCTGAAGTTCCCTAGCAATGCCCCCTCTTAGCCCCCCCGGAGTCTCAGCGCTGCCCCCCCTCACCTGTGCCTCGGGGACTCCCCTGGGCGAGGCCTGAAAAGTTTTCGTCTTCTCCAGGTCCAGGAAGAGATCAAGATCGCAGCCATGGACATCGAACCCATTGATGGACGAGCCAAAGGGGAGGACGGAGCAGCCTGGTCGCAGGAGGGGGCAGAGGTCACGCTGATGTGGGGGAGGGGGGCAGAGGTCCCTGTTATGATCCCCATCCCCCCCGACCCAGCACAGTGGTGGGCCTCACCAGGCAAGAACTCCTGGAAGACCTCCTGGAAGAGGGTGACCAGCAAGTGTCGCAGGCGGCGCTCGTCCTCAGAGAACTCGAACAACTGCACCAGGCGTCGCATCTGGGCGTCCACCTGTGGGTTGGGTGGCAAAGAGCGGGGAGGCTGTGAGCCGTCAGTGCACCGGACAGACCTGGGAGCCACCCCAGACCCTGAAACCATCAGCACAGCTGCTGTCACGGAGGCAGACACAAGGGTGGGGAGGAGAAGGAAGAAGGGAATTGTGAACACAACAGAAAGGATCATGATGCCCATTTCTGCACCTCTGGTGGGTCCATAGCTTCAATGCTGCACCCAGCTCTGGTCCCCGCACCCCCAAACGAGAGAGAGAAGAACAGAGAAGGTGCACAGAAGGGCAACAAGACTGACTGGTAGTTTGGAGAGGCTTCCCTAGGAGAGACTAACGAGGCCAGGCCCAGTCAGGGTAGAAGAGAAGCTTGAGAAGGAGAAACAAAACACTCAAGGGGGAAGAAAAAGTCAGTAGGATTTACTACAGCCTGTCCCTCAAGACAAGAAAGGGGAGTCACAGTGAGACGAGCAAGCTGTCAGCATAAAGCCAACATGAGGAAGTTCTTTCCTGCCCAGGCTGGAACTAAAGCGCAGAGCTTGTTGTCCCCAGACGTGGGGAAGCTGGGGGGGGGGGTTCAGCCAGATTTCCCAAGGGACCAGGCACGCCCTTGGAGACAAGGGGCATCGGAAGCTACGGAGCATGGGAGCAAGCAGCACAGCCTCTGGGTTAACAATGTAAATACCAATTAAAGAAACATTCATTTAACCTGCTGCAATTACAACAATCAAGCACAGAGATGGGGATGGACCTGGCGGCACTGGGCTCCTGCCCCTGCTCTATGAAATCAGTGGGAGGGAGGGGAGCTTTGGGCTGGCGCCAGCGCCTGTCCTACCCCACCCTGCTATAGAAGCGGGGCTATGCCCACCCACCCAGAGCAGCGCGGGGTGGTAGGGGCCAAAGCAGTCTGGTCAGGTAGGCAGCACAGCTAAGGAAGCCCTGGGGGAGAACAGACAAACTCCTCCTCGCTCCTCTCTCCCTCCTGCTCTACCACCTTCCAGTTCCTGCCGGGGCACCACAGGGCTTCCCTTTCCCTCCTGTCCCAGACTGCGCCTGGCCCCAGGCTGAAGGGTAAGGGCGAGCTAAAACCAGTTATCGTCCGCTGATCGGCTAAGTGATTAATCATTTAATGGTTCACATTCCTACTCTGAATCAGACCCTCCTGGAGCCTCAGTGCTGAAGGCTCCCTGTGGGAGAGGGACGCCCTGCTCACACCCGGCCACTCTTCCTCCATCTGGGGGACCCAGGAGCCCAGGCCAGGCAGACCTAGCGCCCGAAGTCCACGGTAGAGGTTACAGCCTTACGTCGGAGAAAGAGGACGTCAGCCGGGGGCAGAGACCACGGACCCCCGCGTCCCCTTTTCCCAGCACACACTCACGTCCTCGGCCTGGCACAGCTCCTGCTCCAGCTTCTCGGGACTCAGCAGCTCGCGGCGGGCGCCCCCCTGCCGCTTGGGGGGCGCGTAAGCAAACTCCTTCTGCTCCCGAGGCTTCACCCGCAGCCGCTGCCCCCCCACGCTGTGCTGAGGCTGGGCCAGGACCTTCTCCAGCGCCGCCTGGTCCTCCAGCTCCACGATGGCGTAGACGCCCTGCGCGGAACAGAGCGCAGGGAAGCCGTCAGGGCCGGCGGGGCGGGAGGAGGGCTGCCCGCTCCCCCCCCCCACGCCGGGACTGACCTTGTCCTTGTCCATGACCACGCTGGCCACGCCGCCAAAGGCCTGGAAGTAATCACTGAGCTCGGCCACGTCCGTGCCCTTGCGGAAGCCGCTGACGAAGAC